CCCCCAAAAGTGAACATTAAGCTGCCGTATAATATCAGCTTCCCATCTCCTTTGCTCCACAGAGCAGGCCTAAAAAACCAGATTGATGCCCAGGATCTGGCCATTTTGTCTAGTTTTGAATTATATAAAATTCACCATGTTCCATGTATGAATCCTTCCTAAATAAAGATACACAAACACAATGGCTGTGTCTAGACTGCATCCCTTTTCCCTAAAAGGGATGCAAATTAGACACATCGCAATTGCAAATGAAGCAGGGATTTAAATCCCCCCCGCTTCATTTGCATAAACATAGCTGTTGCTTTTTTCCGGCTCGGCTTTGCTGGAAAAAAGCGCCAGTCTAGATGGGGATCTTTCAGAAAATAAAGCATTTTCCAAGGAATAAGGGAATTCCAAGGAATAAGGGATCTTTTGGAAAAGGCTTTATTTTCTGAAAGATCCCCATCTAGACTGGCGCTTTTTTCCGGCAAAGCCCCGAGCCGGAAAAAAGCGGCAGCCATGTTTATGCAAATGAAGCGGGGGGGATTTAAATCCCTGCTTCATTTGCAATTGCGATGTGTCTAATTTGCATCCCTTTTAGGGAAAAGGGATGCAGTCTAGACACAGCCAATGAGTTTCTGCAGACATGGTTCTAGGAATTCCCTTACATGCTACTGTAACACCAACAGGCAGAACCTGTCCTGGGACCTTTGAAGCTTAGCACATGAGCCTATACAGCTTGAGCTATAAAGTCAGCTGGCACTCAGCTAAGGCTGTAAAGAACACTGGTTCTTTCTCTCTGTAGGTAGTCTTAGTGCCACTAGATGGGACAGTTCACCACACCCAGCAGGTATGAGGGTTACACTACCATTCTATCCAAGAAGATATATCTATTTTCCTCCAGAAGCCAGTTTATCCCATTGCATTAAAAATACTCATATATGCCCCAATCTCCGATGCCTGCCAGCTTGATCTTCCTTTATTTTTTTAAAGCTACTCCTATGTAAAGACAGTGAGAATAAGAGAGAGAGAATGCACACTCTCTCTCTTCACAGGAGCTTCAGGGGGTAGCCGAGTTAGTCTGTTACAGAAAAAAACAACAAATGCTCTGGTAGCACTTTATAGACTAACAAAACATGTAGATACCATGGTATCTACATGTTTTGTTAGTCTATAAAGTGCTACCAGAGCATTTGTTGTTTTTCTCTCTCTTCACAGTCAGGCCCAGCTCATCTCTGTGCTCTCTTTCGCTCCGCTGAACCCTCTGGAGGTGGCCAGCACTGTAAATGAGACTAATTTACTTTCAAACTTCTTTCTTCTTGTTGATTCTCTAAAGTTTCTCCTGGATTTTTATGGCCAATTCTTGATAACCCTGTTACACCTTGAGCCAGACACCATCCTGTATTAAATAAGCCATACACAGGATTACAAGACATTATTCTGTACACCATCAGTTCTCCTAGAGCAATTTCACTGCAGGACTGCATAAACAATAATCGCCTTCTGAAGTGAAGGGAGAGAATACTCCATGCAGACAGCTCTGCAGAATGCAAGGTAAGCTCATTTCTGTGTCCCTACACCATTAGCCTCTCTAGCAATAAACAAAAGACAGCTTTCATGCTAAAATGTAAGCAGGCACATACCCTGGCAGGCAGGATGTTCAAAGACACTTTTCAGAATCAGACAAGTAGAGCTTCAGACTGGGAAAGTAATCAAAGGGAATAGTTGCCATATTTCATCCCAGAGACAGATACAATTTAGTACCAGGTGAAATGGATTCCTAGAGAGTAAGTATTTTATAAAGCATTTTCAGATATTTCTGGATAAAATTCCCTGAAGAAATCTGAGGTCATGATTACGAAAAGGGCTATGACATAGCTATCTCAGATTCCACTTTTCTTTATCTATTTTAGATATTTCTAGGCCACCAATCACTGTAATAACCAGCTTTGTCTTGCTCATGATTTTAGAGAGACAAAGATAAATTAATATTTTCATCCTTTGGCAGATGATCTAACCTTCACAGATTTCCACCACAACTTCCTCAATCACCATCCATCCACCACACTCTCTTTCTGTCATAGGGTTCACTCACCATTGGAATGTCTCCTCCTGGCTGACCTGCGGATTAGCTCCTTCCAGGTCTGATGGCCCCTTCTGTCACTTGTTTATATGCCTGGCTATCTGTCTGAATCAGGGTGCTCTCTCTTCGTGACTTGGATGCTCCATTTTTTTTACATAGCCCTCTAGCCAGGTCACTGTGCGTTTTTCCCCTTATAGAGTATCAGTGTCTCACCACATAAACTGAGACAGTCACCGCATTCACTGCCCAGACCATGCCTCTTCCCCAGTGGCTGGTAAGGGACCCCAAGTCTACTCTCCAGCCTAGGAGCCCTTTGATCAGCAACCAATGTCTACTGTGTTCCACCCCGCTGCCATTCCCCTGAGCCTTTTCCCACTCTGTCTCAACACTTCTGGCTAAGCCCTTCCTTCAGGATCTGAATCCCCGGGGTTTCTACCCTATCTCTCTATTTCCTGCCTTCCCTCTAACTTCCAGAAAGAAGCCACATGCTCCCTCACTAATGCCTTTTTCTGCTGCCATCTTCCTGACTTAATACTAGCCCTACCTGTTCCTTCTCTGCTGGGCTCCATCATGAGTTCAGGTTACTTAAGCCACCTAATTCCCCTCAGGTTTAGGTCTACCTGATTAATTGGTAAAAGGTAATTAATTAATAACCTTTTCAGCCTTATTAACTGGTTTACTTCCTAGGCTAGTGCTGAGTAAATAGCCCAGTGAATTCCCATCCCCACATCAACTTCCTACACACCACGATCAGCTTCAGCAGTATAACTCTACAGATAGCTACATTCAAAATACTCATGGATTCCCACACTTGCCTTCACAGATCCTGTAACCATCCCAAACACACCGGCTGTTTTCCGGAAAAGGGATGCTGATGAGACACTTCGGAATTGCAAATCCACGAGGGATTTAAATATCCCCCGCGGCATTTGCATTTACATGGCTGCCGCTTTTTTCCGGCTCGGGGTTTTTGCCAGAGAAAAGCGCCAGTCTAGACGCGATTCTCCGGAAAATAAGCCCTTTTCCGGAGGATTTCTTATTCCTGCTTTCAAGGAATATGCTGTCTAAATACCCTAAAAGAACCTATTTCAGGGGAGAAAAAAACTTCCAACCATATGCAGAGTGCACCTCCCAAAACTGGGACTCTCTCGTCCAGCAACATCCAGGCCAGCAGCTAAGAGCCTGTGCACAGCGAGGCTGGTGGTATCAGGGCCAGGGCCTCAGCAGCCTGGGATGGTAGCAGGGCCATGGTAGCAGAGCAAGGGCAGCCTGGCAATTCTGCTGGGACTAGGGCAGTCCATGCATGTGTAACCCACACACCTAGTGTGGTTACTGAGTACTGCAAGTGTCACCTAGACCACTGCAACAGTTAAGATCAAGAGACCTCTACAGCATGGGCTGGGAGCCAGCTGCCTTTTAGAGGGTAGAGGCACCCTAGAGACAGCTCCCAGGTTCAAATCTGCCTTGGTGGTGGTTACACAAGCAGGTCCAGCAGCAGGGCTGTGCTGCAGCAACCTGATTGGGTCGGTGTTCTGGCCTGGCAGAGGGGGCAGAGCTGCGGCAGCCTGGCTGACATAGGAGTAATGGTAGTTCTAATTAGGAGCTTTAATTCGAACTACCTAGTCCGTGTTGCGTGTAGCTGCGGGCAGGGAGTTCAAACTACGGGGGATTTAAAAATGGCGGCGCCCGGGAACATGCAAATAAAGCCGGGATATTTAAATCCCAGGCTTCATTTGCAAGTTCAAATGCCTACATTAGCCGAACTAGTTCGAATTAGGGTGGCAGTGTAGACATACCCTGGACATACCCTGAGGGGAGTAGCTAACACTGCTGGGAGTGCAGCTCCCGGTGCTGTACCCTGGTTCACACTGGCACTTTACAGTGCTGTACCTTACTGTACTCGGGGAAGGGTTCACATCCCTGACCCAGAAAATTACAGCGCTATGAAGTGCCAATGTAGACTTAGCCCTTAGTAACTTTCGCAGATCCGAAGAACACGCTGTGTATCTTGAAACTCTTTTCTCCCACACCAATAGAAGTTGGTTAATTAAAAGATATGACCTCACCCACCTTGCTTCATTACTATCCTGGGACCAACACAGCTGCAACAACCCTGCAAACATCTCTTGTCTTTATCCTTTCCTTGATGGTGCACTTTTGTTGGCTGTCTCTGTTTGCAGGTTAAGAGAATTAGGAGCAAAGTGGCTTGTTGGATTTGGATGTGTAACAAATATGTGATTTTAATTATGTGAATAGTCCCCAGATACCATAGTGAGAAGTGCTCAGCAAGCTTCTATAGCAATCAGTTAAAAGTAAAGCCATATTCCATATTTTATGCATTGTATCCCTTGCCATAGTACTGGCATGTAGGTATCATTCTTATCTCATACACACACACAATGAGAGAGAGGGAAGGAAGTTTTCAGAAATATTGCACAATTGTAACTTTACATACTTAGAAAATAAATGGCTCTGAATAAAGATCAAGTTGTGACAGATGCCTAATGGATTCAAGTAGTAAGGTTATTAAAATAAATATATACAAAGAATAATATTCTATTTAAAGTAAATAGGCCACCATTTTATGCAGACTGACTATTTTGCAAACCTCTAGCTAATTTAAGACTTCAATTAATTTATATGGCTCTCATATTTCACGATTGTACTACAGTAGAGCTTTATTTAAGACTATAGTAATTCTGTTTGAAATACTGATTCCAAGAAGAACTGTATGTTTTTAATCAAATAAATACACTGGTGCATTATTATTATAGTAATTAATTGCATGCCCATCATGTAAGCACTTCAGTGCCATCAACAAAAATTAAGACACTAAGAAATATTTCCCCTCTTATTGTTTTAATAGCTTCAACCACACCAACATGAAATATCACACCTTTTTAAGATGGATAATTTTAAATACTTTTACTTTTTTAAGGCTTGATTTTCAGAAGAGAAATACATCTGATGCAGACACTGTGGAAACCTGCACAAGCTGTGGGGAATCTCAGGAGAATGGAGCTTTGGGTTGAGTAACGCGTGTGGGCTTCCAGAGCTCATAAACCAGCCATCATTTTTATATTGAATTGTACCCTTGTGGATTGTGGGATGCTATGGTAAAAATTATTGCATAAAGTCTATTTTTGAGTATGTGTGTCTGTGTCTAATAAACATCTCCTCTAGATAAATCCCAATACTTGGGATACTAATAAATGCAGGCCTATGAAGAACAGAGAAACAATGTATCCAAATCCATTAAAGACCTTCAGAAGACAGAAAGCTTTTTCAAGGAAGACGGTTAGCTGATTTTTATTTTTTAAGAAGCCCTTCTCTGAGTTGAAGAGGACAAGTGACTATAAAAATGTAAGCAGTCAACCCCCGGCTGAGAAATAAAAATAGAAAAAGGGCCATTAGGCCCAGAGATGTCATCTGTGTCCCTCTTCTATATGTCTGTGCAGGGGATGTGAGGCAAGGAAAAAAAGCAATGAACTGGCTCACCTCCCTGCACAAAAGCATATTATGTTATCATACCATCTGTTTTTCAGTCAATACTACGCTTTCTTACCCCTCAGTGCCTACACATTGTCTTTGCAGAGTATGATTATAACATGGACACTGAATCAGTATTTTCTTTTAATATTCATGGCTAAATGAGCAGAGAAGAATAGTTCTAAATTAACTGAAATTATAACAGAATAATGGTAAAGAATCATCAGTATGTTTTATGTCTATGTCTGAGGTCTTGCGATAGCCCCATCGCTGAAGCATCTGAGTGCTTTTTGGGCTCTGGTGCTGTAAGTGGACCCCTTTGAGTGCCTTCCATATGGATCTTATTGTAGAATTGGGCCATAGAAAAATTAACATATACTAGCGGTCATCATCCTCTTCCATCCTGAAACCCCCTTTTCCCTTCCATGATACTGTTTTCATCTATGGAACCTTCTCTCGGGGAAAGGAAGGGTAATTAGAACCCCCTGAGACCTGTTTGTAACCCCAGGTTCAGAACCCCCTCTCATATAGACAGTTTTGATGTGTTCCTTCACTACATATCCCAGTTCAATTTTGTCTACATAGTCGGAGCATACTCCCAGAACCATTTATAATGGTTTTGCTTCCCTTGTAACCTTTTCAGGATGTGTATGTGTAATATTTAATATTATGTCTTGAAAAAACTACTTTAAAAATAGACAGAGGTTTCTGAATGGATAACAAGTAATTTTTCTGACAGATTTGACTGAAAATAAACACATACTCATATGCATTACACTCATCTCAAATAATATTATTTCTGGAATCTTCTTTTTTAAAATACTGAAAATGGTCAGAGAAAATTATTTTCTCACAACTGCTAATATACATGGCCCTCCTCTAGTTGGCTCAAAGACTACAATACACCTGGAAAAAAATCATAAGCTACTGCCAATTTTGAGGAACATAAAACAACATTTTATACTGTTAGTTTCTGTAATAAAAATTAAGTTGCTCTTATAAAGTCATACAAAATTATAGACGTAAGAATGAACAAATGAAAGCTGAAGTTTTACAAGGTTCTGAATATGGGGAACTTTCACATCAATAGAATTTTTATTTAAAATGTTTATTTATAAAGGGGGCTAAGTACAAAATAAGAAACTTCTACAAAAATATAATGGAAAATAGAAGATTATTTAAATGAAAAACTTAAAAAACAACAAATAGTTTAGTAGCACTTTAAAGACTAACAAAACATGTAGCGTACATCTAGACTGAAAGCTTCTTTAGAAAGAAGCTCTTTCTTCCAAAAAAACTTCTTCCAAAAAAGAGCGTCCATACTTAAAAAGCAGATTGAAAAAGCGATCAGCTTTTTCAAAAGAGAGCATCCATACTTATTGGATGCTCTCTCACATGTAAGCTGTGATTACTATGGGTGGAATGGCCACCAGGGCACCTGTGCTTTTTCCTCTTTCCTCTTCTTTCAAAAAAACTCCCTCTTCCCCATCCACACATGCCTTTTTCCAAAAGGGGTTTACCAATGTCAGGAAAACCCCTGCATTCTTTTGATTTTCTTTCAAAAGAACACGATTGTTCTCCAACAGGTACCAGGAACTCACCCCTGAAATCAACCCCGGTGCCAACTCTGCCCACAAATCTATACAAGCGATTTCATCGCTGGACCCAACCACATCAGCCACCAAATCAGAGGCTCATTTAGCTGCACATCCAGTAATGTGATCTATGCCATCAAATGCCACCAAGGCCCCACTGCAATATAAATTGGACAAACTGGACAGTCCCTACAGGAAAGAATTAATGGACACAAACCAGATATCCGCAAAGGCAACACACAAAAACCTGTTGAGGAACATTTTAATCTTCCCTGACACTCATTAATAGATCTCCAAGTTGCTGTTTTGTTTCAGACCAATTCCACAAGCCAAATACACAGCGAAGGATTGGAACTCCACTTCATTCACAAGTTTAATTCTCATGCTAATGGTCTAAATCACGATATTGGATGGCTCACACATTATCAACCAATCTAACAATGAAGGTGCCAATGGTTCTTCATGTCTGTGTAGAATCTGGTGTTAGTACTCTTCCTTTCCTAGTGCATACTAATGGTTCTTATCAGCCTCTTTTAATTATTTAGGCTTTAAGATGCTAATAGATTATTGGTTGTTTTTTAAGTTTTTCCTGTTACAGACTGGCTCAGCTATCCCTTTAAAACTTATCCACTCGCAGTCTTTCTCCCCCCCCTTCCAATTTTTTTCCTTCTCCCTCCCTCCCCCTTCCCTTATTTATTCTTGGTTCTGGATTTCCAACACTCTGGTCATCTGAAAAAGTGGGCTGTGCCCACGAAAGCTCATGATACCGTCTACACGGACTTTTGCCCGAACGGGCAGCTGCTTTTGCGGAAAAACTTGCCAGTCTAGACACAGCCAAACAGTATTGCTGGGCAAACTATCCATTGCAAATAGTGTTTATTCAGCACACGTATTTTTTCTGTACATGAAGCTTCCTTGAACAGATTTTGAAATTTATAAATTTGTTAAGTCGCAGTTGTTCAATGAAATGAATTATGAAAATGTTACACATACTTTTCTGCCTCTGGGTTGGGGTATGCACAAAATATTCACTTTGACTTTTTTGACCATTCTTTATTAGAGTTGAAGTGTGACTAATCAGATAGATCACAAGTATATTGTTTTGAGATGGTTGACAAACTTTCACAAACAGAAATCAAAGAGACATCAAGATGGCCATCAAGAGCTTTCCAACATAAGTCTTCTCACAAACAAATATTCAGATAAGTATGTCTGGATTTTAGACAAAAAAATACATGAATATACAGCAAAAGCTTTGTTATCCAGTACTCATGGGGAAGGGGAGTTGCGGTTAAATAAATGTACCAGATAACAAAGCTTATTGCTCTGGCCCTGCTCCCTATCAGCAGATCTGGCTCCTGACAGCTCAAGACAGGCCAATGGAGAAGGAGGCACCTGCTGATGACGTTGGAAAGCCCTCAATGGCTGGCTGGACAGAAGGGAGTCAGGCATGCATGCCTGAAGATGCAGCAGTATTGTGGCTGGGATCAATGCTGGTTAACAAAGTTTTCTGGTTAACAAATTGCCAGATTACAAAGCTTTCACTGTACATGGAAACTTTCAGGTTTTTAGGAAAACACATGCTTATTTATAGTTTGGGGTTTTTTGTTTTGTTTTTGTTTTAATTCACCCAGATCAGAACTATATGAATGATTTAATTCCCTATTCCATTTTACTTGGTTTTAAACTAATTTCTATAGAATATTGTTAGTTTCACCCCCATCAGAGCCTTACAACATTTTCAGAGAGATATTTCTCCATGTGAAATCCAAAATTAAAAAGATACACTCAAGCATTCATTCATCATTTTTTCCATTCTCATTTCATTCCAGCATAGTAATTACTAGGAACTTGCTTTTAAGAATGCCATTAGGGATTATAATATTTTTCAAAATGTTTTTCAAGGTAAGAAAGAATTTCACATCCTTTTGAACTTTCAGGCAAAAAATGATGTATCTTATGAGACTGCCCATTAAAGTAACATGTAGCCTTATTTATCTGCCATGCCACTTTAAAATGACTGGCAGAATTCACATTGTCTTAGCAAGATAGAGATTTTGCATATCTCTAATGTAGGAGGTTAACTTCTTTATGGATCTGGATAAGTATTTATTTGAAATAATAATAAATATTTATTATTAATATTAGAGTACTTAGGCTCTCTAACCATCATCCAGGACCTGATTGTGCTAGGTGCTGTGGAAATACAAGATGAAAAGACAATCCTGCCCCAAAACTTACTATCTACATATATGAACCACGCACACACATTAAAAAAAAAGATGGATACATACAGACCCATAGGGGATTACAAAAAAAACCCAATGAAACATCGGTCAAAATGATAGGCAGTGGTATCATTGCACCAGCTGTCTAATTGATGTCAAGTTTTTTGTAGGCATCATGACAAAGGAGAGTTTTGCAAAGGGATTTGGAGGAGAATAATTAGTTCATTTTGTATATGTTGATGGGGAGCTGCTAGAAAGTGTGAGGAGCAGCATGGGAATTTTAAAAACTAAATGAGGGATATGTTTGAAGACTACTTAAATTATATCAAGAACACTGATTGGGAAATTACCTTAAGAAATAAGAATGTCACAGTTAATATCAGAATACAAATCTCTTCATAACATTTATTTACCTTTCTATAGCTACATCCATAGAAATAACATATGTGAAGCAACCACACAGTACTTGTTTGCAGCACATGGCTGCTTGTTAGTTTGTTTTTTGTTTTGGTTGCATCTCTAAGAGAAACTAATGAGTTTCCAGAAGAGGTCTGAATGCTTTGGGGCTGACTGTGATTTAAAACTGGCAGTAAAAGAAAAGAAGACAGGGAAGGTAGTTGGTTAATTGACCTTTATTGTGCCTTCTGGTTCATTTAGAAATGGAAATTAAATTAACATGATAATTCAGTCCTACTGTGTTAAGACTGCTATAAACCCATTAAATTTTATGGCCATTGATTTAGCATTTTTTTCTATT